CACAGTGCAGCAATGTATGAAGCACAGTCAAACCAACAGATTTCTGTTGGTCAACATGGCAAATTCTCATGACCAACTGAATTTTATACAGGGAAATCTTTCACTTTATGCTATATGTTGGTCTGTGCCACATATTGTTCCTAAACCAAATGAAATATCAGAAATAGCAGCAATGTTTCCATAGAAATTCACTAATAATTTCTATCCAAAGCTAAGGCCGAACAATCCACGTTTCAATTCAAATATATAAGCCAATACTATACAATTCTTGGATTATCCCCAAACATTTGGTCATTTGGCTCTTGCAACACCCAATCTGGGCCATCGACAGCGGGGGACAACTCGGAAAGCTGTCCCGGGGGCCGGGATCCCCTAAGGGCCTCCTTTGTGGGACCCACCCACAAAAAAATGTTGTTGTGAGCAAAAAACTGTCAGTAGAAACCTTAAGCAACAGAACAGCTTGAATGATAAAATCATCTGCCAAATGAATTAAGTTTAAGGATCTGGTGTTAAGTTACGTTTTCTTTTAGCAAAAATAGATATGGACAACATGTCAGCCATTAATTTCTCCCTAAGTAGCACTCAGTCTCTCACACCGAATATTTCATTATAAGCCAATTAGCAAGCGTATAGTCATTTATTGAATTAGCAGTTATGAATTCTGTGTACATGCAAGGGAGCCGCAGCGTGGGCGAGTTTTGCTCGTGATAAATAACAGAACTCTTAATGTTTTTTGTTTTTTTTTATGGTTAATAGTTCTGAGAGACACCTTATGAACAGCACGCACACAAAACCAGCCTCAAGAGAGATGAACCACACAAAAACGATGCTTTTATGCAAATAACGTGCTGTTGCTCAGCGCTTTTAAACTCGTATAAGGAGTACTTTTAATAACTCTGTCCCATTTACAGAGCATTTGGGAGAAAATATTAACACGGCAGAAACACTTAATCATATACTGAAACTCAGAAAAGTACTCTAAAGAACTTGCATCAAAAACGAAAAATTGCTGAAAATGTACTCACTCCCAGGCCATTCAAGATGTAAATGAATTTGTTTCTTCATGAGAACAAATAGGATAAATTTAGCAATGTCATTTGCTCACAAATGGATGCTCTGCAGTGAATGGGTGCCGTCAGAATGAGAGTCCAAACAGCTGATAAAAACATCACAATATTTGTTTAGAACTGTTTTAGACTTTTGTTTTATTTATTTATTTATTTTTGCTTGCAAAGGGGCTCTTGATTTGTGCATATTTCTCTCCTGATTCAGACGAGACCACTTTTTCACTTGTGAAAGCAATATTATGGATAGACAACTCATATTTCAGCCAGACACAACAGTTTGAAGTTAAAAATGTCTTAATAATGAATTGGTTTCTTACAGGCATGCAGCTTTCCACTTCACATTATGTTAATTGATAGACTGGAGTCATGTGGACTACTTATGGATTATTGTGATGTTTTTATCAGCTGTTTGGACTCTCATTCTGACGGCACCAATTTACTGCAGAGGATCCATTGGTGAACAAGTGATGTAATGCTAAATTTCGCCAAATCTGTTCATATGAACAAACAATACCCAGATTTCCAACTGTATCCCATAATGCACATCCAAAAATAGACATTTTTTACACAAAATTTGACATAAAATGCTTAATAGCTGAATTTTAAAGTAAAATTTGAGGTCATGTGAACTCATATTACTATTCAAAATGGCTATTGGCGCATATGAAAACTTTTTCACATACTATTTAAAAAAAAAAAAAAAAGAAGAAAGAGTATAGAGTATACTGAAACACATTCGGTTAGCAGCAAGCTAGCAATCCTTTCCGAACATGCTCCAGTCGTACCTTGTACGACAAAACAACATGCCAAAATGTGTTTGTGCTCTATCAGGAATTCTCATTAAAATCTATCATCTGAATCGTACCCTCCGTACTGATGCATACTGTGCTTGGTATTCCCTGTAAAAGTCTTGCCTTTGTTTTTCCATATGGCTTTGGCGTGTTAACATCATTACACTAGAAATGTTAGCCTGCAGCTATGGGCATTAGCATAGCAGGAAAATCCTGCCCGTCCAGGCCGGCTGCCAGTCGCCTACAGACGCATCTGTGCAAGCTGTTTTCCAGGCAACTAGTGATGTCTCCGATGAAATCTCTTCTGGAGATGAATCGTCTCAGATAGGTAGTTGATTGAGCCAAAAGCTGTTAGGAAAGTAGTATAAATGTATTGTTGTTAAGTGCTTCAAGACATTTGTACAATATATGCTTTTGACATATGGACATTTAGATGTATTGTGACTGGGAAAGAAAAGGTTCCTACCATCCTTACCCATCTGTTGCCTCAGGAAATGGTCTCATTTTTCTTTTTTCCTCATCTGGATTTCTGTGCAGACACAACAGAAAAATACTGAGGCAGTGAAATGCGTTTTCAGGAGTGTGCGCCATCACTCAGACCAATAAACACCAGCACCTGGGGGATTGCATCTATCAAAACCTGAGAGGAGAAGATGTTGAAACTATCTCTGATCTATCTATCATTTAATTTATTAAACCTACTGAAAAACCGTCATGAGTCGTGAGAACGAAAGATATGGGATAGAAAGAGAGATACTGGAGGTAGAGTAGAGGCTGATCTGTGACCTGCCGTTGCACACTGAGTTGAGATGGCTCTAGCTAGTGTGTTTAAACCCAATAGAGGACCTGAGTGAGAGCAAGACCTGGCCAATAACTTTACCCATAATTCATAACAGGGAGGCAAACTAGCATGAAGGCATTTCAAAACAGCAGGTATTTAGCTTCAGCCAAATTTAAAATTTAAGGCAGCATTGCAGAAAGCCAAAGCAATGCTAGAATGATCTGCAACCCCAAAAATGATTTTTAATTTTGCATAATAAAATGTAAACACACACACACACACACACACACATACACATATATATACATATATATATATAAAATTATAATTATGTATATGTATATACAGTGCTTTATACATTTAAATTAATTATTAGTAATTTGAATAAGTGTGTGTGTGTGTGTGTGTGTGTGTGTGTGTGTATATATCCATGTGCATATATGCATATAAGTCTTTGAATGAAATGCACAAAGCATCGCTCACACACTCAACAAGCTCATCCCGGAGAGAGAGAGAGTGTGAGTGAGTGAGTGAGTGAGTGAGTGAGTGTGTGTGTGTGTGAATGTGTGAATGTACCTGCATGCTCTGCTCCGTTAAACCTTCCACATTCTGTCAGACGTTTCCGCTTTGAATCTGAATGAAAGCACTTGTTTCTTTGTTAGATATCAGACAGGCGTGAACAAACACCCACCTGTAATCCGGGCTCGACTGAACAGCCAGTCTGAGCAGGTCTACACGGAGTTTTGTGACCCTCCATAAAGAAAAGCCTGTCTCTGTGGATCTGCATGGATTCATGGATCAACCGGAATCTGGGAATGAGGGAATGACTTTGACAACATTCAGAAAACCCACACAAGAACAAGATTATATATAATATAGATTATATTAATTCACCATCTTTTTATTCATATTTTTTGCTCTTTCCACATCCGTTTTCTGCTTTATTGCTGTATTAACAAATAAGTACATTTTAAAACGCGCACGCACGCACACACACACACACACACATATATATATTTTTTAATTTTATAACTTATTTTCATATGCTTTCAAATTGGTATATTTGTGTGGGATTTTTTTTTTTTATTCATTAATTTTTTATATTGTTTTAAACTATTGTCCTGGTGCTTATTCCTTTATTTTGTTCTGGTCACTATTAAAGCTATTTTAGCCAAAAAGAAGTAAATTAATAGCCTAATATTTTTTTTTCTTTTGTGAATGTACACGGAGTTGAACTATTGATATGACCTTTTCCCCCAATTGCTTTTATTTCTATTTTTTTCCTATGAATTAACATCTCTATCAGTTTTTTCTATCACTGATAACTGGATTTAAGAGAAATGTTGGATTTGTCAGACAGTTTAATGTACTGAAACTAGCTAATCGTTTAAGCAATCATTCTATCAAATGTAAAGAATAAAATATATAAATTGATTAATTCATTCTCCACTATAGTTTCCACTTAGTGGATTGGAGTTTGGACGAGTCGTAGGTCTCTGGAAACAAATTATTTAGTCAACGGTCGACTCCAAATCTTCAGAAATTATCTTATAAATGTGCCAAACATTTATGGACTAACTTGAACCGTAAGCCTTACCAGGCTAAATTTCTGCTCTTCAAGAGTTGATCAAACCTACAGGAAACTGCTAAAAGAACAAAACATTTTGTGAGGATCTAAAATGCAAAACATCACTACCACCGATGCATTGTGGACCTTTGGACGTCAAGATGCAAATTTGATGGATCAAGACAGAAATTTCAGTCTAGGCGATTCTTTAGAGGTGTACAACTACAACTACTCTCATTTATTACAGCAGAAACACGGCCAACATGACCTTTCATATTTCACCGGATGTTTTGATTTGGTCATTTTCTATATAAAAGGAAACTTAATAGAACAAAAACGTTCAGTTTTGACATCGGATTTATAGTAGCATAGCTAAAAGAAATTATTCATGTTTATTACTACCATAACACACCGATTTAACATAAGCTTAATTACACAATTAGACTACAGTAACAAAAAAGAGATATATTTTCCAAAAAGTATATTTAAAATGTATAATACATTTAAATGCATATAAATTAAACAGATTTTTAAAAGATGCATGGAATTAAAATATAAAAGATTTTAAATATATTTCTAATATAACTATTTAAATTTTCACAACATTTTTATTTATTGAGATGCACCTGTATATATATATATATATATACATACATACATACATACATGTGTATATATACATATATATATATATTATATTTTATATGCATTTTTATTTTTTCCCTCCCTTGAAACTGGCAATTCCATTGCTTGATGTTTATAATCAATAAGAACGTTAAAGAGGTGAAAAACCGTTATGTGTAAACATTTATTGGTTTTCAAACTGAGATAAAAACAACTTGCACCAGCAAACATTTTACAGCCTTTCACAGTCCACACATCTCGCAGAGAAAATAAAATAAGGGGGGAAAAAACGCAAGAAAGAGTAAAGGGGAAAAAGACGTGAGAGTGCAAACTTTTATTCCAGTGACTTTTAATGACAGAAGAATTCTAAAAACCCATAAGTGGACTGTTGTCCATCATCCCAAAGACAGGAAATGAGAAAGCAAGTGATAAAACCTTCCGTTTGGCCGCTGCGCCGTTTCCATCAACGTTTAAATTAAGTTAAAAATTCAAAAGCCAAAAGCCGAGAAGACTCTCAGACGAAAAAAAAAAAAAAAAGACTCGCTTATTTGGATTCGGCTACAGTATAAATTACACATTTTTGGACGTTGTTTTTCTGGCTTAGTCGTTGTTCGGCATAAACAGTGCGTCCCTGCTCAAAGGCACAAGTCGAAAAGTGTTCCCTTGTGTCCCATCTTCACGTTCATTGGTCAGTTGTAGCATGTTTGGTTGTTTATTTCCATTCGCTTAAGAAAAAAAAACCCACTTAGTTTTGTATGATGTGCCATTTGCGGGAAAAAAACAACAAAAAAAACCCAAACAACATGCTCCGGTTTCAGTTTTGCGATTCCTGGTCTATTCAAAATGAACAGAAGAACAAGCCAAACATGTCTCATTTGAATTCGTTTTGGTTTTGTTTCAATAACAACGCTAGATAATTCATCTGAAACCGTGAAAGAACAATTTAACTACAACATTAGATTTTTTTTTTTTTTAAACAAACTAGCATGAAAACCCCATTCGAAAGTAACAAACCCATTTTGATCAAGCCATAGTGGTGCAAAAACAAACAAAACAAAAAAGCAACAAAGCCAGGAAGGTGTGACTGAAATAGCAGGAAGTGAGCCTGAGGCAATGGTGGTGATTGGTGGAAAGAGACGAAGAGGCGTGGCCTCACTGAGAGCTGGATCTGGCGAGCGTGTGCTGTTCGTTAAGTTCCTTGCTAGTTCTCAGTTTGAATTTGGTGATGGAGCTGTTGAGTTTTTGAAGCGCGCTCTGCGCTGCGTATTTCGACGGGAACAAGGCCAGGATGGTATATGTGGACGCCAGGTCGTGAGGGGGCGGTTTGGGAGGGTCAGAGTTCGTAACGTCCGCTCCTTCTGATTGGCTGGGGGACGGAGGTTTGGGCAGCCATTTTATGAGCGCGCCAACTTTGCTCAGTTCTGCCAGTAAAAAGTCTGCTTCCACTCGACTGATGCCAGCTGGAAGGTCCGTCACCTCCAAAACACGGCCGGAGTCTGGATGCACAGAAAACATGTGAGTGAAAAACTGATCGTGTTTAACAAAAGTCATAGTGATGCATGCACTTTTTCGATTAACTTGAAAAATGTTCAGTACTTTGAATTATTTTTGTATTATTATAAATGCCATTATTTAAAGGTCAATTTTATTACAAGTTTTAATTTAATTAATTTCACTACATTGCATTTTAATATCAATTTTAATACCAGTATTGTAATACCAAATGTTTTTATATATATTTATATACATTTTAAATATATAATTAATATACATTTATTTATATTTACATATGACAACATTTAACACATCTCAATATTTCTGTATTTATTCATAAGTGTACACATATAGGATGAGCTCCAAAAAAAAAAAAAAACATAAATGAAAATAAATAAATAAAAGATATTTGTAGATATTTATAGATCTTTATTATTAATGCTATTATTTAAAGGTAAATATGGTTTAACACCATTTTAAATGAATATACTTCACTTAATTATAATGCATGACATATTATTAGAGTAACAGAAAACTTACAAAATTCAATTTAAAAAAAGTTGTAGGAAAAAAAAAGTTGAAATAAAACTTCTATAGAACTATTCTAGTTTATTATATATGGATTTACAGAAAAGTGTGATTTTTTTTCCCCCATAATACTTTCCATACATTTTCACTACATTAAAGGGGTCATATGATATTGCTAAAAAGAACATTATTTTGTGTTAGTCTTTGCAACTTTACAGATCTTCTTTATGCACCAAGAGCTTGTAACACTCCAAAGAGAAAGGAAAAATTTAAATCGCATATGACCCCTTTAAAATGAAGAATTATATGCAATATTTATTAATTATATAAAGGGAATATAACTATACATAGTACATGCATGTTTAAATCAAAGATGCTCTTAAAACATCTTTCATAACACTCTCATATTAAATTTAATTTTAAATTACTAAGGAAAAAAACCCAACATCATCATTTTGGATATGTTTTAAATATTCAATACATCACCCAGTGTGTTTATATTTCTGATGTTTCTGATGAAATCATTTTGGGAATGTCCTCAAAGTGAAAACATTTCAAAAACAGACTAATTAATATTTTAAATGAGTTGTAAAAGTGGTGTTTTAGAGATCAAGTTAGATCAAACTGAATCTTTATTGAACATTCATCTGTATGTTCATAATTCAGATTTTCATACCCGTTTCTCCTGTACTCATGTCAGTAGAAAGTGATTTCTTTGTGGGTCTTCGACTGCGCATGCCGTGCCGGACACCCACAGGACCCTGAGACAACAGAACTGAAAGTGAGCTGATATGTGTGAAGAAAGAGAAAGTCCCATGTTTAACACGACAGTGGCGATGAAGATGATGCTAGATGTGCATTAATGTCGTTAGATCACCTGATCTTGAGTGTGAGAGCAGTATGTGTGTGTGTTCAACCTGGTGGTGATGAAGATGATGATGATGGTGGTGGTTGACCACATGAGAGCCGTGCATTAGTGGGGGTCTGATGGGGGCGTTATACTGGAGGGGCTGCCCAATCAGAGGATACCTGCCATCACCTGTGGACACACCAACACCAATGTTATCTATCTAAACTACACCAAAAATATACAATATACACCAAAATGTAACAAAAATTCCAAAATATAGTAGAAACATTAAAGGGTTAGTTCACCCCAAAATGAAAATTCTGTCATTAATTACTCACCCTCATGTCGTTCTAAACCTGTAAGACCATCGTTCATCTTCGGAACACAAATTAAGATATTTTTGCTGGAATGTGAGAGCTCTCAGACCCTGCATAGACAGCAATACAACTGAAATGTTCCCAGACAGAAATGTAGCAAGGACATCAGTAAAACAGTCCATGTGACATCAGGGGTTCAACTTCAATTTTGCGAAGCTACGAGAATACTTTTTGTGCGCAAAGAAAACAAAAATAACAATTTATTTAACAATTCTTCTCCCCCTAGTTACGTCTTCTGCCATTTTGGAGAGTACCCAAGAACGTAATCGGCGTTGTTTACGTTCGGGGGGGAAACTGCATGCATGAACGTAATCAGCATTGTTTACACTTAGGGTAAAGCGTGCGTATGCGTTGTGATACTCTCCAAAATGGCGGAAGACAGTAACTCGGGGGAGAAGAATTGTTGAATAAAGTCGTCATTTTTGTTTTCTTTGCGCACAAAAAGTATTCTTGTAGCTTTGCAAAATTGAAGTTGAGCCACTGATGTCACATGGACTGTTTTACAGATCTCCTTGCTACGTTTCTGGACTTGGGAACATTTCAGTTGCGTTGCTGTCTAGGCAGGGTCTGAGAGCTCTCACATTTCATCAAAAATATCTTAATTCATATTCCGAAGATGAACGAAGGTCTTACGGGTTTGAAACGACATGAGGGTGAGTAATTAATGACAGAATTTTCATTTTGGGGTGAACTAACCCTATAAAATGTGTCAGAAATATATCAAAATATACCAAATATATACCCAATACATATCAAAAATATGCAAGATGTACCAATAAACCTTAATTATACCGGAAATATACCAAAAATATATAAGATGTACAAAACTGTAACAAAAGTACCAGAAATTTGCCAAGAATACCAAAATCAAAATTTATATACACTCTGACTGGCTCACCTTGGCCTGGAGCGTACGGGCGGGACAACTGAGACATGATGGGAAAGGGGGCGTGGCCAGGACGAGGCCCCTTCATATTGGCCAGATGGGCGGGAGCAGGCGATTGCACCGGAGAGGGGGAGGGGCTTAGAAGCTGCTGTGGATTATTCTAGAAAGCGAGAGAGAAAGGTTACGAATGTTGCGTCACGTGAGAATGAGGTCACATGGGACGTGATGCAGGTGTTTGTACCTGTGTGGTGTCCTGTGGCAGCAGGTCGCAGTGTTTGTAGTAACGGTTGGGTTTCCAGTGTGATGGGGACGGGGCTCTGGGCTGCTGGCTTGGAGGAACTCTCAACTGCATCATCACCACTCCACCAGCAGGGGGCGGCGGAGGCACAGCTGAAAATCACCATGCATACTTCAGATTTCAGTACGTACTTGCATGAGATGGAAATATGTATTAAAATATATAAAGCGTATTATTAAAAATGTAAGATACAAGATGTGCATTGTAAAAAAATGATTAATAATATTACTAAATTATGGATTGCACTTAAATAGAACAGGAATGTTTTAAAATAAATCATGTTTAATAAAAATATAAGATATAAAATATAAGACATGCATTAGAAACAACAAAATGCATATAAAAAATAGTAAAAATGTTAACTACAATTTTTCAAACTACATATACAGTTAATACTATATTTTTAATATTAAATTATGAATTGTGATGAAATGAAATAAATCTATTAAAATCTACTATTTTTATTACTTTTCAATGATCTATTACCTTTTTTAATAACAGTATTTTTTCCATTTGTTATTTAATATAATTAATTTGTTAATAAATAAATAGTAATAAACAATAGATTGTAATAAAATAAATAAAATAGAAACGTTTTAAAATGAAAAACTAAATTGTATAATGTATTTACAAGTTTAAATGTAAATGAAAACAGTAATGGTTTTAAAATGTTATATATAATATAGTATTTTGACACAGTGCTTTATATGATGAAAACAGTATTATACTATATTATATATATATATATATATATATATATATATATATATATATAAAATGTTAATTTATATATTAATAAATTTGTCTATTAACACTGATTAAATTCAATCATTAGTCAAATGGATTCATTAAAAAAATTATACTTCACATTGTTCTCTTATTTTTTAATATTATTGTATCTCGTATAGTACTGTTGCACACATATAGCAGTATTATTCTTATTAACCTTTAGAGTTGTAAATCTTCACTACTGCAGACATATATCATCACTGGTGTTATAAATACAATGTTTGCTACTGATTTATTCAATAACAGACAAAAACGATGTACCGTTACACACAATGCACACACACACCGGCCAATTAAAGTACTTTATTAAACAGTGAAAGGTCAAAGAGTGTGTGGATCTCGCCTCTTGCTCATTAAAAACACCCTCTTCTTCAGCAACATAATCATCACCTCATCCACACACACACAAACACACACACACCAGCTGAGCGTTCATTAACACTGAGGTTTATTTAAATAAACATCGATTGTTCTCGCTGCTTCTCAAACGCATGATGAGCTCTTCACAAACACCATAAGGCACGAGCACAAACCAGAATGGTAAACAACATTTAATTAAACGGCTACGTAAAACATTTTGAAAATGAGAAATATACTGCTCAAAGCTCATTATATGTGCTCAACTTATTAACCGAGAGACGTGCAAAGACTTGATATCTAATTAAAAAATACCTGCCGTTAGTAAATGATGCAGAGCTATATACATTAACCTTTAGATGCGAGTTTCAGTTTTCATCATTTCAAAAAAAAAAAAAACAAGTTTACACACGGATGACCTCAATAAATTAAGAGAAAAAGATTACTATTAAGAAAAAGAAACTTAAGAAAAAACATCTTGTGACCATTGAATATTATTTTGAATATTTTGACAATTTTTTTATATAGTTCATATTTAGTCATTTATTTTAAATGTATATATTAATTTTAAATTATGGATACTGTATTTTCTGGAATATAACCCATTTTGTATTTTTATTATCTATCCATCCATTCATCTCTCTCTTTATATATATTTTATTATCTTTTTCTGATTTATATACCATATATATGTGTGTGTTTATTATAGACCCAGCATTTTATAGTCAAGAGCGACTTATCTGCGAAAATATTTTAGTTAAGAAAAATAAGCCCAGTGTCACAAAAAAAGTGTTTGTGTGTGTGTGTGTGTGTATATATATATATATATATATATACACACATATATATATATAAATATTACTTAAAAATTATAAAGGAAAATAATGAATAAATAATTTTAGTCATTTATTTTATATGTATATATTAATTTTAAATTATGGATACTGTATTTTCTGGAATATAACCCATTTTGTATTTTTATTATCTATCCATCCATTCATCTCTCTCTTTATATATATTTTATTATCTTTTTCTGATTTATATACCATATATATGTGTGTTTTTTTTAGACCCAGTGCATTTTATAGTCAAGAGCGACTTATCTGCGAAAATATTTTAGTTAAGAAAAATAAGCCCAGTGTCACAAAAAAAGTGTTTGTATATAAATATTACTTAAAAATTATAAAGGAAAATAATGAATAAATGATTGAATATTAAAATTGCAAATATATATAAAGTTTAAATTATAATTATTATAATAATTATTGTAATATTTAAACTTTGTATTTTGAAACATTTATATATTATATATATATATATAAAATTCAATGATATGTTATTATATTTTATTTTTTTTAATTTATGGCTAATTAGGCATTGAAAAAATATACCTATTAAAATTCAAATGCATTATGGTTCAAGTCTATATTTTATTATATTTTAAATGCACTCAGGCTTATTACTTCTTCTAGTTGATTTGTGATTGGTCGACAAGGCTGTCATACCTGTGCACTGCTGGCCTGTGATTGGCTGAGAACCGCAGGGGGAGGGCGGTCGGGGAAACGGCATCTGCTCTGAACCCGGCGGAGGGAGGAAACCAACTGTCGAGCTGTACGATCACAGGAAGTTCACATGAGACACAAATCAAGCCCAATCACATTCAGCGATGCTTTAATCTGATTGGCTGAAAACTGGACACACGTGTGTTACCTGATGCTAGAGTGTTGCGTTGGCGGCATCATGCTGTAATACACCTGCATGCTGGCGGAGGGCGCTGGCGCCTGATTGGTCTGTCCCTGAAAGGAAAATAATGAATAAATAATTGAATATTAAAATTGCAAATATATATAAAGTTTAAATTATAATTATTATAATAATTATTGTAATATTTAAACTTTGTATTTTGAAACATTTATATATATATA